AAGTAATCCAGAGATTTATTCCCAACGCTTTAAAAAATAATAAATTTATCAGTCAAATTTTAACTCGCGGATTTATTTATGTATTTATCGCTGTAGATTGCAAAATAAAAAATATTCCTTTCTATCGATTGTCATAAATATTTTACATAAATAGGTCGCATCAGATAATTGAAATCCATTCCCAATAAGTAAGCTCAGATTGATTTCTTTCAATATTTAATGTCTTGCCGCGATATCAAGCGAAGAAATGATCTCAATATATGAAATAGAAGTCTAATAGATTGACTTCTTTCTTCACTGCAGCCGGAACGAAAAGTGTTATTAACGCGACAATGCGAATGCGAACTTGTGCTAAAAAAGCTTCTAGCGACAGATGCGAAACAAAATTGCGTTCGTTCGAAACTGCTATAGAAACGGCAGCTGCTTCGCTGGCAAGTCAGAAATCTCCTAAACCCTGTCTTACCGATTGTTACAGCACTCTGATAATTGAAAGTTTAAAAATAAAAAAAGCTGTATTTCAAAGAATTGGAATTATTTATTTTAGTTACAAATTTTTAATATTATGATACAATGCTATAAGAATCAATAATTATTTAATCTATTGTTTATGCATCTCAATACAAAATGAATACGTTTTTATCCAAACATAACATAATTATTTAATAGCTATTATGATTAAAGGTGAATTTGAGAATTATTAAATATTATAATTATGAAATAATACGAGATACTTAGTAGGTTAGCTCATTTAAAAAGATGTTTTACCGATCGGTACATTAAAATTGAATTGATATGAATTCTCTTGTGAAAGATTAATAATCAATAACAATCTTATCATATTTTTTTGCAAAACTATATACATAATCCTTAAGCAATGCTTAATAAAGATACTGTGTATATTGTCATAAGTAAAATATTGTCATAAGTAAAATATTGTCATAAGTAAAGTTTTTCATCACATTAACATCTTTCTAGGATGCCTGATTGAGCATCAAATTATTGAATTGCTTGTCAATTAAATTTGTGTATTATTACAGTAGTTTAATTCTGTTCGTATGTCCGAAAACCAATTCGCAGTTCAAATGACTACATATTTAATAGATATATAAATTCACATGAAAATTATTTAAGCATCTAAGATCCAGTTTGGATTGTTATAGGCTTTAAATTAGGCTCTTATTTGTGTAGTCACATATACGGTCTTAATAAATCATTTATTAAAGTACTTTTATTCAAGAAATTGAATATAGCAAGGTTATATACGAATGACTTTTACATAAATGAGTTGCACAATAATAATAAAATAATTAAAATTCAGTGCTTAAAATTATATTATTTGTGATTTTTTAAAACAATGCAAGAATTTGATACAGCCTGCATATGCATATAATATTTATTTTAGAAGTTATTAAAAAACGCGAACCAATGAGCCATCTTTAAAAATCAGTGTACAGATAGAAATTGCTATCACAATACTGCTTTTCGTTTGGACGGCTATCGGAAGATAGCCATCCACAGTTTTCCGAAAATTTTCTCTTTTTTCCAAATCTCCTTCCTGGATGCATTCTGCCGAGAGCAGCCGGCCCATCATGGGGGCAGATTGCACTCTTTGGTAGACCCAACTGGAAACATTTGCCACATGGCGCAGCTGCACAACCCAGAGACCGAGGTGTCTGTTTTCAATTCATTTTCCCTTGAATTTTCCCTTTCATTCGATCGACACGGCGAAGACAGAAGATGGAGATACTACGGCCTTCGAAAGTTGAAATACGAAAACAACTCGACAAATAAACAGACAAACGAGTACCACTTGTTTTGAAAAATTATTTAAAAGAAAACAATATTTGTTTTGTCAATCCTCTCGTACACGAATGCATTGTCCCGTTTGGTAATTAAATTTTGATACCATTTTTTTCAATATGTTGTTTCTACTTCGAGATGACTCTTCCTCCGCGCGATTTATTTTAATGGTCATTTTTTAATTTTCTTATATACAAAAATTTGCATAATTCATATTTATACAATTTATATTATATTAAACAAACATTCTTCAAAAAGTTTTAAGTTTCATACCATCCGCTAAAAAATACAAATGATAGTATGACTATTCCATATGCAATCTTATAATGTAGTACGTTAATTATTTTTTTTTATAGACAAATATGTTTACTACCGTAATACGTACAATAAGAATTGAACTAAACAGCATTTAACTGATATTATTTTATAAGACATGCGCTATAAATGTAGTTGTTTGCTCTTTACTCATGTTTACTTATTTGAATCATCCTCGATTAAATTTCTCAAGCCGCTTCTGTAGGTAACTATATAAGTCAAATGTAATTGTTATGAATTCGGAGAAGCATAAAGACAAAAATTAGGAAAATTAGAAACTAAAATTTTTTCGTTTTCTCATAAGTGTTTCACCAATAATAATTATTTTATAATATCCAAATACTAAACAGAGATAAAGAATAATTCAATAATAACTGCAAGAACTGCACAATAAGATCTTAGCAAAATTATAGACCGGAGCTCAATACACTGCGAATATATTCACAAACATTTATACTTCATGGACACTCATATACATACATTTTTGCGAGTGATAGTATAATAACGTACAAGAAAGAAAAAGTAGAATATTTAAAAAAGTAGAATATAACCTGAAAACAAGGATAAAAGTATGGAAAAACGCCGAGAGAACATGTGCCATGTAATGATGTAACATCAGTCTGCTGGCGTTGAAGAAATTTTTCACGGAAAAAAAAAAGTTCATTAGTATTTCTTTTTCTAACTTCCCCGCATTTCTCGGATAACACGACATTATGACATTTGTGAATGGTGTCGTTGACGTCACAATAATTAAACCGCGGTCGCTGGCGGCTCGCGTTCTCACTTCTCGCTTCTCACTAATTAATCGTAATTTATTAACGACATCTTTGCTTGGCGTTCGAGTACAGGCAGGTGAATAGAAACAACATGGGCGCGGTTTCTTCCTTTTTTCGTCCTCTTCCATGGCTTCGAGCATAGTACCCTGACCCTGGGCACATGGCCAGCTGTCTCACTCCACCCCTTTTGTAAGAGGCACACATTCTAAGAGTGGGATTTGTCTATCCCTGCGCAGGCAAAAGAGGAAAGAGAAAGAAAGAGAGAAAGAGAGAAAGAGGGGGAGAGAGAGAGAGAGAGAGAGAGAGAGAGAGAGAGAGAGAGAGAGATATGTATGGTGCGCAAGGACGGCAGGATCGTCGGGCGAGAGAAACAGGGCGAAGGAACTTTTGTGGAGCCCGCGGAATAATTAGCATGCTCTCCTCAGCAGCCTAATTTTAATGGAACACCGACATACGGCGTTTCATATTGTAATTCGGCCTACATTGTAGCGCGCTCGCACGGTCTTGAATATTATTATCTACCGCGTTTCCTCCAGCGAAATCTTTACACACGCTGTAAAGTATCATGCATATCATATGCACTACTACTCAATTGAATCCGAGCATCCTGAAGAAATTTAGACAAAAGATTTCTTATACGAGACATTAACTTTGTTCACAATAATTAAGAAATTTTCGCGATATTGTAATATTTATGTGTGCATTCAAATTAACTTGTATGATATTGAAGTAATGAATGATGTAAAAGTTTATGGGAAAGATTCACAGGATAACTATTTCATTCGTAATTCTCATTTCTCAAGTTAGGATAAACTTGTATTTATAAAAAATATGATATCTGTAGAAATATGAATTAATAGACAAACAATGAGAATCACAAAAATACATTGTTCCTTAATTGAGATTATATATGTTGCGTTCTCACTTTTCGCTAATTTGTCAATAAAATTAATAAATACCAAATAATCAATTTTTCTCGCAATTATAGTTTGTTCATAATTGTTAATATGCTGAAGACGTAGCGCGAATCGTATAAAAAAATCTTTGATGAGACTTATTAAAATACTTTAACTGTTTTTCTTTGAAATGCTTAACGACGTGTTTCAAACTTTTGATATTTAAAAAAAATATTAAAAGTATCTACGCCATTTCTCACAAGTTTTTCAAGCAACGATTATTGCGTGCCAAAGATTTTTGTGAAAAAATCTTTCAAGGACCTGACGATTTTCCAAAAACACCCGGTAGATTTCTGCAGACCTAGCGTAGAGGTGGCGAGTGAGGACACACATGGGTAACGTATTCGTACATACGAGCGCACATTCGCAGTGTGTGCGCGATTGGCGCGAGGCGAGAGGGAATGAGAGAGAGAGAGAAAGAGGAAAGCCGCGAGAGGAAACGAGCGAGTGAGCACGCATGCACGCTCACGCGCTCGCGTGCACGCATGGTAGGCACGCATGCACGCAGACGGAGCACGGAGCGCGTACTCGGCTGCGAAAACCGGCGTGCGAAAAGCAGCCAATGGCGAGCAGAGGCGGGAATCGGTGGGGTCACCCACGTGGTTAACGAACGGCCAATCCGCGCTCCATCGCTGGTGGATTTCGAGTTGGTTTCCCGCTCGGTACACCACGTTTGCGTTCGCGCACGAGAGAGACGGACAAGAGAAAGAAAGAGAGAGAGAGAGAGAGAGAGAGAGAAGAAAAAAAAAGCAGGAGGTGCACGCGCGAGCAAGGATAGTCACGAATTCGCAAAAGAAGGAGAAAGAGAGAAAGAGAGAGAGGACTAACGATGGCAGAGGAAAAAAAGAAGAAGAGAGACAAGTTTGCATCGCGTCTCGACTGCCTCTCCCCCTCCCCCCCTCCCTACCCTGGGAGGCAAAGGGGTGAAGGAAAAAGACAGAAAGAGGGGCACAACATGCCGAACGAGAGAGCCCCTTGGACATCGCGTTCGTGGTCTAGCTAAAGAGAGGAGAGCTTGGAAGGAAGGTAGTACGTCGTCGTCGCAAGGAGAGCGAGAGAGAGTGAGAGACGGGAGGGAGGGGGGTGGGGGAATTCCTTGGACACTCCGCGAGTCGACGTGGGGG